AGAAAGAAGAAGAAAAGGTAAAGATAAAAATTATGAACAAAGTGATAACAAATACATATCTATCAACAAGTGAATCTAAAAATCAAGTGAATGAAAAACCTGAAGAACAGAATGAACTGTTGATTATAATAGAATCAGGGACATAGAAAGGGAATGGACTGACTATTCTTGGGGGGGTAGGGGTATGGGGTGAGGGAAGAGATTGGACAATAATCGTGCACCTATGGATGAGGACAGTGGGTGGGGAGTGAGGGTGGAGTGTGGGGTGGGAACTGGGTGGAGGGGAGCTATGGTGGGAAAAAAGAGTAACTAATGTAATAATCTGAACAATAAAGATTTAATAAAAACAAACAAACAAACAAAAATACCAAAAAAACACAATGTGGCGCCTGCTGCTCTAGAGGGGCTGTAATGTGACCTTATGACCAGGTCCTGGCCATCTCCATCATCATAGTTTCCAGAGCTGGGCACACTCTTGCCTCCAGTCTGCCAGCAAATCCAAATGTCTGGAATAGCCTGACCATGCATTCAGCATTCTGTAACCCATCCTCACCCCCACCACATCCACAGCAGCAAATGGGAGACCTGGGTTTAGTAGAGAGGAGTCATTTTTTTTTTCTAATTATAGCAAATCTTTTTCTTTTCTCTTGGTTGTGATGAAACAGAAGTAGGTACTACTAATAACTACAAGCATGTCATTGATGTGTTATAAATTCAGCTTGAGCCACTGAACTGCTCTTTTAAAAAATATAGTTTTTGTTGTTGATAGCTTAAACCCCCTCCTCGCAGCCCCTCTCCATCCCCCTCCCCAGGTCTTCACCTCCCTATTGCCCATGTCCATGAGCTGTGCATATAAGTATATACATTCTTGGATTTATCTCTTCTCATCCCCTACACCCCACATTGAGGTATGCCAGGCTGTTCAAAGCCTCCATGCTTCAGGTCTTATTTTGTTGGTCAATTCATTTTGTTCATTAGATTCCACAAATCAGTGAGATTATGTTGTACTTGTCTTATTTCACTTAGCATAATACTTTCCAGGTCCATCCATGCTGTCTCAAAGGGTAAGAGGTCCCTCTTTTTTACAGTTGCATAATATTCCATAGA